TTCCCTACAGGTAAGTCAAGATAAAATTTAAATGAGCAGGCAGTTATGCTGCAAAGCCTGCCCAGAAACGTCTGGGTACACAAACATAAATGACTACTCTTCCTGAGTAAAGGCTGTTTTCTGACTACATAAACACACCATCTTTCGGAGACGGCCACAATAAGGACAATGAATGTTTTAATATTACTGTGCAAGTGAAAAAGTTCTTTGTGTACCATTAGAGACAGTATTCCCTCATTTCTCTTCTCCAGCTTTTCTGTCACTGAGGATACATGTTGCATAAGCAAGACCTTTGTTCATTAAGAGACTACTTCGACAGGTTTCCCTCCACTCTGAAATAAAAGCCTCAGAAAGACTATTTCCATGGAAACTCATGCAGGTGCTTCCTTACCTGAGACAGCAATATCACTAGTTGCCATGGAAATGCTTACCATTAATAACAATTTGCTTGACTACCATCTTTCTTTTAATAATCTGAGAAGAGCTGTACAAACAGTAGCAAATAAAACCTTAGACTCCTTTCTCAAAATAGTAACTTCTCATTCTTCAGATGAAGGATTGAGGAGCTGGAAGCAGAAGGGCTGTGGCCAAGAGCACGAAGAACAATCACGGGGAAAGACTGCAAGAGTAGTCCACCTTGAAAATATTAAATCCAGCTCTTTGTTTTATATTCAGGGATAAATAGGGAAGATGAGAGCAGAAAACACAGCACCTCGATGAACTTTCAAAAAAAAACTAGAAGTTTTCCATTTTCAGTCCAAACATTATTGTTCTCCTAAGTGTCTGTTTAGCTAATTTTCCTGGCTCAGACCACAGTAATATCCTCCTGCCTCACAAATACTAATTTAACTTTAAAACCTTCCAGTAGGGTAGGGAAAATTTCCAACTCTCCTTTATAGAGCCGAATTTCAGCAGTGGAGAGATTACGTAACTAGGCTGTAGCTAGATCACGCCAACAGCAGAGCCAGGCATCAAGCCCAAGGCTTCCAAACTTTTGGAAGATTTAGCTGCAGGACCACCCCTTTTTCTAAGTATAAATTCAAGTAGGTTGCTGGGGCATGTAAATTCTGCCCTAGCTTGCAGACATCACCCAGATATCTCAGAAAATGCTATTTCTTTTTAATGCAAGAGAAAGGAGGAAGAAAACTACAGTCTAGAATTAATGATATCCTACCCGGATCATAACCATGTGGGATTCTAGAAGAATTTCTGCAAAAGAGGGCTTCAAAACATCCAGGCTGATATTGGGCACTTTAGAAAAAGAGAGAAAAATAGATTAGAAGTCTGTACGGTTTACTTTTATTTGCCTCTTTCATAATAAACAAAACTCTCTCCTCCTGTCACAAATCTGCTTCTAGCACCTCTTTTAATTCCCTGCGCAATTAATTCATATTCTAAACACAGAGGCTTGCAGTCAAAACTATCCCCCAGTGAATTTCACAACTGATGTACTCCTAGATTTCCTCCTTTGCTTCCAGGGGCAAGAGAAATAGACAAAAGTCCATGAAATAAACAAATATGTATTTCTAGCTGAAATTAGAGACATATTGTTCATAGGCTGCTGTTTATCTGTAAATGAGCCATGAGAGTGGGAATGTAAAATGCATTACAACAGAAGAGGAAATTCTACTAAGCCAACAGCCCAGGATTCCTCTCCTTCGGTTTGCATAAAGTTGCTCTGAAAGGATGGAGAACGCTAGGTTTCTTAATAACTCAGAACTCAGCCCAAGTCATCTGCAATTCATGCGATGAAAATTGTATCGAATAATTCAGGCCAACTGAGGCTGTGACACATATCTAACCCTGGATGAGGCTGCAAGGCCCATCTGTCACTACTGGCAAACTTAGTTCTCTGTCACACTTCTATTCATTTCTTGATGATACTGCAAAATCATTATTTAGTATGCCCCCAGTAAGAGAAGGAAAAAAATACACCAGAATAGGGTGGATCCTAGCTTTTTAAAAAAAACATTAAAGTATATATGACATACTCATATCGACGACAATAAGTCCCAATTAAACCAATGATGTTAAAAATAACAGCCGGTACTGCAGTGCCTGTAAAACTTCACACTTTTGTTACCCATGAAGATCTCAAAATCCTTAAAAAAAGTCTTTGTACTTCCACTACACTTGAAGCATTATCACCAGCTTACAGTACAAACAGTGTAGTAGAAAAAGGCTACGCATCTCTGAACAACTGGCCAAAGTTCAGCAAGTTCGCGCTTCAGTTGCGAAAGAACACACAAATTCCAAACATCGAATGCCAGTTCTTGCCATCTGATAGCTCATCCCTTCCTTTAACAGCTAGCCAAGATGCACTCTCAAAGGAAAATAAGTGACTTACACTTAGGGTTAATATGATCTTCAAAGTTCCAGAGGGAATTGGGAGTCTCCTTCAGGTATGGTGTGCAGGTGACTTCCACTTGTTCCCAGCCCCTGAGGAACCACAGAACAGTTAGCCACCACCCCACAAAAGATCACTCAATATTTCCAGTTCATGTCTGATTTTTTCCCCATTTAGCTTTATACTTCCCCATAACACCTACCATACCACTCAACCCCAGCAGCTGCGTTCTTACACACTCTTACATGCCCTAAGCAACATGCATAAACCAAAACAGATTTGCAAGGCAGCCAACATCAAAATTCTACTGAATATTTGAAGCACATTTCTAACTTTGGGCATCTAAACTAAAAAAACCTAGATCCATACATAAGCAGCGGGATTTTTGAAGATGATGCACACTAACAACTAGAAACTACTTCAAGTCAGCCCTTACAGTCTCTCCAGAAGAAAACCACCATCGTTAATTTAAGTCAATCCATGCCTACAGCAACTGTATTACAGAAACAAAAGAATGACTTTAGAGGATCCCACCACCTGTTCATTTAGGCTGTCACCCTATTTCTAGCAGGTCACATCAAACACTTTGGGAGAAAGTGCATCAAACCCTGCAGTAATGTGACAGATTAATAAGGAATTTTCTATCAATTACCACTTAGCAGACTTAACTCCACTAATTAATTAATTCCATTTATTAATCACCACTTAATTCTCTGAAGGACAGTGATTACTCCCCTTTAAATTCCTAAAAAAACATATAAAAATCCAATATACTCTAACCATGCTTATTTGCAGTTAACAAGTATTTTTTTCTCCTCAGCTCTTAATGTCATCAATATTTTGTGGCAATAACTTCCATTCACAGGGTAAGTTTGTGTCAGAGGGAAGAAAAAATATACACCCTTTCTTGAATCCTGTTGACTTTTTTTTTAAACCAATCACATTATTTACCCATGAGCCCAGTTTTACCAGTAAAGTCTAAATGGCACTTACATTCCTGACCAGGCAGTCACCAGAGGTATCTGCCTGCACTCACTATGATTCAGCATCAACAGGATTCCTTAGAAGCCCTTTTTACTATAACACAGTGAAGGGAAACCTAAGCTAGCAGTCACAGAGGCTTCTCTGGAAACAGAAGCAACAGGACCCCACAGCCTGCTGCTTCAGGATCCATGTTAGCATCCCCACACAGTACAGCTTTGCAGATACAGCAGCTTGCTTGGCATTAGTCTGGATGTTTCTGCATATACCTCATTTTAATGACGAAGGCATATCATCTAAGGATGTATTAAATCACGACCCCTGCTAATAGCAGCTTGTTTACCATTGCCCTTGCTTCAGATGCTGCATGCAAAAATGGCAGAAGGTCTTCCAACCACAAAATAAATTAATACCAAAGAAAAAAAAAGAAATTTGGAGGATTATGGTATGGAACAGCATGAACTGCCCCAGTTTCTAGCAATTTTTGTGAATCACAAGGATAAAATGGGCCTTGAAGAACACATCTGTCATCCCCTCCTGGACTTACCAGATGACAAGACCTATGCCCATGCCACTCTTGGATCTCTTAGCAAGGGATATTATTTTTCAGAGCTGTATACCTTCACTGTAACAGACTGCATAACCCTAACCCAGATCTTCCCCTCTGGTTATATTTTTAGTACCTGCTAGTTACTGTTTTATTCTTTTAATGATGAAGAAATGGAGGAAATGTAGCTATTGCTTAGTTTAAAAGTACCATCGAGCAAAGGAACATATCAGCTCAAGGCCTTCCACGGGTGGAGGGGGATTAGAAGCTATTTACCATTTTGGCAGAGTCTTTCCAGAAGAGCCCAATATACACCCTGTGGACACATGGGTTAGCCGGACCTGACTCCGTAGGACTTTGATGAGCTTCCCAGCCTTTCTGCCCACCACTTCAATCCGCCAGAAATCATTGGAGTCTCCTGTTCCATTCTATCATGCAAACATGCCATAGGAGAAAAAAAACCAAACAACGCAAACACAAAAAAAGCAAAAAATCCCAAAACCAACTAGAAGACATACAGGATTGAAGCACTGCAAACAGGAACTTCTGAAACTCTAATGGTGGCAAAGCTAAAACAAAGGAGCCTAGGCTACCCTCGCTCAGACTTCACAGAAGAGATTTCCCATCAGGAAGAGATGATTCTAGACATGAGCAGCTACTCACAAATATGTTTTTATCTTGCCAACCTTAAATTTTTTTGCTTCCAATTCATACTTGACTGTGGCTCAGAGTTGCATTTTAAACAGGGGTAACTTGGTTGCTTCACAAAAAGGGTTTAGGCAACAGCCCCTTGCGTTTGGAAATTCAGCCCTCAAAGCAGATTTCATTTTTGTGATTCAAAATTCTGTCATCATTCTGTCAAAAAAAGGCACTTGTCTACGTGACAAGGCCAAATACATAAAATAGTACTTGTCAGAGCAACTTCAAGGTTGCTCAGTTTGGCATTTCTGGAGTTGAACACTGCCAAAGCTAGTCTGGCAGTAAAAGCTTAAGTTATTTTCTTGTCTGTGTTCACGCTAAACAGACCTTAAATATGAGATAAGCTATTTCATACTAAATCAGTTTTTCCTCCAATATGGTAGATGCACATCTATCACCTTGGCAAATAAACTAAAAAAGCAAGAATAAATCCCCTTGGCATGGTATGAACTCTCCCCAAAAGAAGGAGCTTTTGTTTCATCTTGCCATTGACTTACTATTCCATAGCCAGTGACCTGGAAATGCTTCCTTGTCAGGGGAGCCTCATGCTGGTGACTGTGAAGATTTCTAGAAGTTCTGAAATGAAATTAAAAGTCAAACCTTGTTTGGTTTTATGTCTCGGTTAATTTGTGATAAGAACTTTGGTTTGAGCCATTCAGAGAGCTGCCAGACCTTTGACCACTGAATTCCAGCCAAAGGCAGGGCAGGATGCAGCCTTAACAGTGATGGGGGCCACAGAGTGAAACTGCCACTTCCCACCATGCGATTCTGAGCTTATGCCACACTGGGCAATGCTGGAAAAGGAGGACAGCATGAATAAATCCAACCTTTAAGCTACAATCCACCACCTCCAAGTGGAAAAGACATTGTTGGTTTTAAATGAAGAGTAAAGCTGGGACTAACAGTCCTGCTCTTGCAAGAAGCAAAGCAAGACCCTGACCTCCCTTGATTATCAGTTTTGCTTTTGAGGGGAAAGATTGTACCACATAGTCAGACACAGATTTACTGGGGGGGGGGGGGGGGCCGGAAAACAGCCTCCCACCCTAGCAGGGACTGCTAACTGGGGCAACCAGAAAAATCTGGCCATATCCTGGTCAGTCCTTAATAAAACCACTCAGACAAAGAACCACCCTGACAACAATGCAGCTGCATCCAGCCTGGCCTTATCTGCACAGAAACCCTCTGCCGGTGCCACATGAGGTTCGTAGCAAGGAGATGAGAGCCATCTGCCGGATCTTTGCCGCAGCACCACAGTTTCACCGCCCATTTCAGAGACCTAATCAGGACCTAACCAGTACTGCCTAATCAAGATTTTATAACCTTCCTTATCATATATTTGGTAGTAAAACCCAAAATCCAAGGCATTTTTTTTTTTAAATCTTAAAATCATTTTGGAAACCTAAGTAATGATTTGTGAACACACAATACTGAATGCAATATGACATGATTTCCAGGTTCACAAGTTTAGAGCTTCTGTTAAGAAATCAAAGCTGCGACAGCACAGAGCATTGTGGCACAGTGACATTAGACTAGATGAAGATTAAATATCAAGTCACTAGGGTTCCCCTGCTTCCTCTTGGGTGTTCCCTACAGAAAGGGAAGGCACCAGCTGGCATTTTCATTAAAAGTGTTTCAGTGCTGTGATCTCAGTGCTGTTGAGAACTTCAGCAGGTAGATACTGCCTATGCACATAGGAACAGGACACCTGCAGTAGACTGACAAAAAACCCACACTATTTGCCTAGAAAACTCAGAGAGTGGGGACAAGCAACAGAAGGAGGGTTTTGAAATTGCTTCTTTACAGCAGTTACCCTTAATATTGCACTTCACACAGCTGAACAAATCCCTCTGCTGCTTAGGTAGGTATTTCTAATGAAGTTGTGTGGTTCTGTTAGAAGTTTCCCATTTAAGAGACACCCTTCAAAACATAAACCATAGAAGAAAAACTCCACAAACTTCACACTGGAAATGCAGATATACAAACACCTCTGTCACACAGCCCACTTGTGCTGGCCTAACCACGTAGCCTCCAGCAGGACAAATCTCCCACCAATTCTATTCAATCACGCAGCCTCTTTGAATCCCAGAAATCATCCTTACTCTTTATGTTCCAGACGAATAATATCTCCGTGCCTCACAAACTCCACAGGGCTCGAGGGGTCTGACAGATCTGCTGAAGGAAGACAAACTAATCATATCAATGCACTGACAAACATATCAGGGTCTTAGAAAGTTTCTTGTGAATGCTCATCCCTCAAGCAGACAATACAAGGCAAACTAATTTGTGTTGACTCTAAGCCTGGTGTAAAGCACTGCTCTAGTTTAAAGACCAGCCCCAAGTGCTACTCCAAAGAACATGGCCCTAAGCAGCACATACTGCCCTTAAATAAAGAGGATGCCTGGTCAGGCTAACTGAACACCAAAACTATATATTTATTTCATGAACTATAAAATGACTCTCGCAACACTGATTATAATTTTGTTGTATCTAGGTTATTTGCATTTTTTGTTGTTTAGACAGTTCTTGTTAATTTTTATATATACATGCTGCAGGTGAAGAAAGGAAACTCTGCCAGACCAAACATGCCTCAGCTACACTATATGATGTTCTAAAACAACAGATGCATGTACAAACCATAGATCTTCACGTTCGGTACCCTATCTTGTCCCAAGCAAACATCCATGCAAATCAGTCGAACACAGTGCATCAGAACATACCAGGACCCAACTTCTCCAGGACCCATAGCCACAATAACAGATTCCACCACTACTGAGTTCAGATTAATTTCCCCTCTGTTATCTGTAGCCCTACCTAGCTGAAAAGTTGTCAATGCAACCTTCAGCTGAGAAAAACTTATTTACTTCAGCTGTACAATCTGGAGAAAACCCAAAAACAGAGTAGACACAAACAGCATTAATCAAGATGGAGCCAGATTTCCCTTGTTCTTCCTCCACTCCCCCTCATATCCATGAAGGATACCTTGCCCTGGAGGGAACTCAGAATATTTAAGTGAAAAACTGAAGCAGCAGTTATAAAAGGCACTTTACTGGTATCTGTTACCTGTATCCGAATCATGTTTCTTTATAATCCACAGGTTATTCAAATCTTTATGTAAGTAGGCAGTGACCTGAAAACACAGGATAAATTATTTTACCAAACAACAAAAAAGCTGGTGATAGCAGACACACATTCGCCAGCAAATCAAAGTCCCAAATGAATGCACCAGTAACACAGAAACCCTGGGATGACTTTTATGACAGTGCCCCCTAGAAAGTCAGTTACTGGCCACTGCTTAACCCAGATCACAGCTTTTATTCAGTGCATAGCCTGTGCACTCAGGAGCACTACACTTAATGGCAGTTCATATGCATCATGAGTAACAGCCGTCAATCATACAGCTTGACCTCCTCTCACCCTACTCAGAGGCTCCTTCTACAACAACAGGATATCCAAAACCCTGAACTTTTTGAATAATCATTGACCAGTACCAGAACCAGGAGATGGAAACAGCATTGGCTTTACAGACAGGCATCATTGGTAGAGATTTACGACAACAGGCTGCCTGTGACAACCATAATACTTCTGCCAAAAGATCCAGGCAAGGTAAGAATGATTCATGGATCAACTGTTAAAGCCGCACATGCTACCCAGCTAATCCTTACCGGCCTGCTCAGACTCACACAAAGTAACTGCTCCTACTGTTACCATGGGCAGGGGAGACCATCTGGCCCCCGGGTGCTGCTCCCAAGGGCAACCTTCCCAAGCAGCATGAGGAACTGTGCCAACTTTGCTCACTCTCCTCTTCCAGCAGCAGCAAGCCCTGCTCTGTGGGACCCTAGACCAGTCCCAGACCTGTGCGTCCCACTCAGGTGGGAGCAGATGGCCCAGTGGGTGGGTGAGAGGCAGAACATAGAGGCATGTCTGAGGGTGGAGAAAAAGGGAGAGCTGGAGGTGGAACCTCATACCTTGAGGTTATATCATGAGGAAAGGCAGGAAAGGAGGAGGCAGAGAGATCACTGCCTCCATCTTTTCCTCCCTAAACCTCCTCCAAGTTCTAAATTCCCTTCCCCTCTCCACAGCCCCCAAACTGCCCCAGCTCCCTACCCTTGTCCTACCTCCAGGGCAGGGAGCACAGCGGGGGAATCTCCACACCTTCCCACCTACCCTCAAGGAAACTCCCATCAGCATCCTCTCCAAATCCCCCTTCCCTGCTTTTAATGTCATAAAGCATGCTCTGCACTTGAATTTTGCCTATCCTTGAGCCAGTTTTGGTATGCCATCTCCATCTACGGTAATAAACACCAATGTCACATGAGAGTATTAGAATTTTTGGTTGGGAAGAACGGCAGGAAAAGAAGATTGAGACAAAGTTTTCATTTCTGAAAACTTCCTCCTCACCACAGAGACTGAAGGGAGTTAAAAACCAAACACTTGTTTTTCTCTGGCAACTTTCTTTCAAGGAGCTCAGAACAATTTTTAGACACTAACATGCAAACTGCAAAATACATCTTGGGAAAGCTGCAGAAGCTGCAAAGATTTGTGAAGCTTGATGATGATGGACAAAAATAAGAAATTCACTTAATTCTTGTACTACCTAATTAGCAATAGTTACATGATTTCTGATTTTAACTTTGATTTATTGCTTAATTATTTAATCAGAAGCCCTTAGAGAGTTCAGATAGTTTCATTATGGCTAGCTTACGAACGTACAGGTATCTAATTTAATGAGCAAAGCCTTGGCAAAGTTCATTGGCGACAGATGAGGAAAGCAAGGCACAAAAGTAGTAATTCATGTAAGGTCACAGAGGCCAGTGGCAGGAGTGAAAACAACACACAGCAGCCCTATTCTGTTGCTTTTAAAACACAGCAATGCAACCTATAAGATAAAGTACTGTATTTGTTTTAAACGTAAGTTTTACAGCCTTCCTTGAGGTAACAGTACTTTCATTAAGGAAGATTATTTTTAAGTCCTCTTGGCCTCCATCTATGGAGGCTGGTCTTGCTACTACAATGAAGCCTTGTTACTGTAAGTCACCTCTCTGGTGCAGTGTGGCAGGCTCTCTTCAAGCATCCTTTTTTACTTAGACTTCCAAGCCAAGTGCACAGCTGTGGCACTGAGAGGGTAACAGATGCTGAGTAAATACATAGCTCCTGTCACAACAGCACCTAATGCTAAGTGCAATGGGAATGAGTCGATGGTTGTAATTGGAGGCAGTACTAACACAGTTCACTAACCTGCTGCTGGCGAGCCCCAACGCCCTCCGGGTAGAGGTGCCAGTGGGAGTGAAGGTATCCCCCTGCCATCCGAAGGTTCTTTATTGTGACCACAGACCCGTATGCCAAGTCTATGTGGGAAGGAAGGAGGAAAAAATGCATAAGGCAGCTCTCCTATAAATATCTCCCCCAGCTAGTCTGCAGTGGACTGATCAGGCATGCATTCTCCCACTTTGTTTTGATGAAAACTCATTTCCTGTTTGACACGTTACCCCACACAGCTCATCACAAGCTGATCTCCCATCCCCAACCACGATTCAGTAAAACTGTTACATAACATTTGGCTGAGACACTTGGAATTCTCCCACCTAGTTTCACATAAACAGAAGTGCTAGTTCTTTTGTGTGTCATTTCAATAATGAGAGGTTTGAGGCAGCTTTCCATAAGAGTATTTGGTCAAATTAAAACATGACCAAGTTTGAAAAGCATGTGACTACTTTGAAGCACTCCATCGCCCAACCCCTACAGCAATACAAGAGGAAAGGGAACCAAGCTCAGCTATCAGATAGTGGAGCTGATACCCTGGCTTCAGATACCTTCCTTCATAGCCTTCCAACACAAGTGGGAGAAGACAGTCTTAGAGAATGGACCTGATGCTCTCCCAGTAGTAGCTCTGGAGCAGGGAACAGCCAGAGAAAAGCTGAAGTAATCAGGTGGCTAAACGATATTAAAGGCTCAGTAGTTCCTAGCCAACCTGAGGATTAGGGAACAACCACAGAGCCATCTTTCGCCTGAATTCATATGCATGCTTGAATACAACACAGCTGAACCAGGGGCACGCTGTGTGACAAAGGAGTTCATAATTTTCATTTATAAACATTTTGGAAACAAATCCCACATCTGAACATCTACAAACCTAAGGTGAACAGGACAAATCTCTTTGTTGCCTCAAGCAACATGAAGGGCAAAAAATACAAAGATGCACGCACACAAGACTGTCAAATCCCTCAAAATGGCATCTTTCCCTCTAGAAGGAATATGATGAAACAGCTAGTGACCTTGCACTAAACATGGTGTTATTTTCAGCCATTTTCTGTCAATGTATAAAACTGCACAGAAGAACAGCGTGGATCTGACCATGATCATGAAGGCATATCTGCACTGTCTCACAGGAAACGCTGTTTTTATTTAAACCTCCACGTATGCTGACAACACTCAAAGCGGTTTATTCCTTTGGACACTCACGCTCTGGAACGGAGACATTATGAAGATTGTTCCCGATCAGCTGGGACTGAAATGCTGAACTGAAGAAACCATCCCCAGGACCACTACAAAAGACAGCAAAGAATGTGACAATTCGAAGTCTGGCAAAACAGGCATACAAAGCTCTATCATGTGTTACCAAATTGTTTTTATAGAAGGAGAAAGATAAAACCAGACATGGCATCAGGAGAAGAATGACTGCAGCTCCCTTAGATGCACACACCTATTCATATTCTTTTTTTATGGTGAAATGCTTATTCATCTCATCTCTTAATGCCAGCATATGGAAAAACATTACTTGGCCATTTTACTAGCTGTTGTGCTCTTTCCCCATAAAAAGCATCCCTTGGTTGCAGGCATTCACAGAAGAGTCCTCCCTCTGGGCACACTCAGAGTTTTGGTTTGGTTTTTTTTTGTTGTTGTTTTTTTTTTTAATCGCATCCAAAGCATTTTTCAGGAATGCAATGCTTTCGTTGTTTTTTTTTTTAATTACAAAAACAAAAATAAAAGGAATGGAGCCGAGACATTTTCAGGTCCAGGAAAGAGAGGAGGGGAAAAAAAGGAGACAGAGAGTTTGGGTAGAATACTTGCTTGGCATTTCAGAAACTCTTAAGCTCAAGCTCTGTTTCATTGCCAGCTTGGCCAGAGTCTTTCTCTAAAAACAATGCAGGAATCTGGAAAAGGAATTAAACAAAGACACAGCTTGTGGCTGTGCTTCTGGCACTGAAAATGCTGAAATACATAATCAATAGCCTTTAATTCAAAGCAAAGACAAGTGATTCTTCTTCTGGAGAAAACATTGTGAAATACCTTTTATTTAATACTGCAAAATGAACAGCAAACATAGCCATGTAGAGGGCAAGCGGGAGCAGGATGAGGCAGAGTACACGAGCCAGTAAATGCTTCCCAAACACGACCTGTAACAAACACAATCCGGATCAAGCAGTGCAGCTGGAGGAACAACTCCACTCTTTATCTCACAGGACTCTGAGCAGTGGTCCTATAGCAGAAGCCTACTATGTAAGCAGCCCCAGCAGGGTGCAAAATTACTTCAAAAAGGCCTAGTGCGTGGTAAAAGCTTAGGCAGACCTTGTTGTGCATCTCCAAAAGCTGGAGCTGGGGTACCTTGAAATTTCAGGGTCTTGGGAGAAGGACAAAAACAGGCAATAGGAGGGTTTAATTTTCAAAAATGTTGGGCATGCCTAACTTTGTCAAAGGAGGTTGGGCAGCTCCCATCGACAACACTTTGAAAACAAGGACCTTAACTTGTTTATCAGAGCAGTACAGATCTTGACACAAAATCGCAGCAAGGAGATGGCTTACAGAGTAGTGACTGTCAAAGCTAAACAAAAGGGAAAATGAAAACATGAGGGCACAAGTTACTCGATACAATTCTTCCAACCAGTTTCCCTATGCAAATATGACTGCAACAAGGACTTCTTGGGGACCTAGATATGCTGCATTCACAGAAACCAGCTAACTTAGCAAGGATGCCCTCACACTGCAACTTCTGTTGCTGGTCCTCAGCCAGAAGTCACAGAAGAGTCAGCAGCAAAACCTGTGAGTGTTTCTAGCTGCCTCATCACGAAAGTAGAGCATTTCATTTAAATCCCTTGGAAAGGTGGTTTATACACAGATGCCCAAGATGCAATTACATATTCACATCCTACCGACACTGCTGGTAGTAGAGTAAGTAATCTAAAATACAGGGTGGGTAATAAAAAGCTGAGGGAGAAGAAAACACCTTAAATAGCGGAAATTGTTTGCTAAATGTCCACATTTAACTTCAAAGCAGACGAAGGAGATGTACTTGCTATCTTCCGTATTTTTTTTTTCATGGTACCTATCATACAATCATTAAGCTAATCATCCTCCTTCCCTTAATAACAGATCCAAAGATTTCAGAAATAACAGAAAAAGAGCTGAACACATTACAAAACTAAGAACTTACTGAAGTCAACAAAGGAAACAGTTGCTCAGCTCAAGTACTTGAGCAGAACACTTAATAACCACTGGGCACTTGAAAAAATGCTGATTGATGGTACATAACCAAATTTATGCAGCAGAGAGGCATATGCACTAATCTCCAGTTCCCTGCTCAAAATGACCACAACATGCTTCAATCTTTGTGAAAAGGTTTTCTTTAACCACAGACCTCAATGCAAAATCAAAAAAGAAAACGCACATGAAGGACAGCATCGAGCAAACCAGAACAGTGGACCAAGATAAGCTGAGAATTCTATAAATCAAATCAGTCCCCAAAACCTTGCACGTAAATAGTCATGAGTAGTTTCCTAACAAATGCAGAGATAAGTTACTCAGGCTTTCAGGGTTTAATCCTCATTTTTTTTTTCCTCCTCAAGCACCAAGGCTGCCAAATAGTTAGTTATTCAGAAAGCATCTACCTTCTGGAGTGAATTTCTTTACATATTCTAACACTCAGGGGCTTGCTGCCTTTGCTGCCAGCAGCACAAATGAAGTCACTGTGCAGCCGTCTGCTGGCAGAAAGCTTAGACATGATGGATTTGTTCCATTTCAAATGCAATTAACTGACTTTGCTCAAGAAGTGCTTCTCTGGAGCTGGAACATTGCATCTTCGCAGCCCATATTGATTCACATTAATCAGAGAAAACAAATCACATAGCTGGAATAGAAAAAGTCCCCCCAAACCCTCACTGTTTATGAGACAAAGAGGACAAAAACAGTAAGTGAAAAATACAGAATTTTCAAGCTTCAGAAGAGGCTGAGACAAGAGGAGAAATGAACACCTTTTAGAAGATGTGCTTGAAGAATTTGTTTTCCCGCTGGTTGCAAGACAGGCAAATGGTACATCAAGGTATTTCTCCAAATATTACATTGTACAGTCCCCAAATATAAAATGCAATATATTACAACAGGGAACTCAAACACACTAGCAAATTTTTAGAGCTTATAAGAACTAAATGTGTGTGAAATTGAGCAGGCTATGGCTGCCTTCATCCTCAGGACTGACTATGGAGACTGCAAGTTGCAGAGCATGCCTATGACTCATGAGGGACTACAGCATGCTACTGCTATACGGCCTGTGCCCCCATACTCTCATGAAGCAGAGCCTGAGCTTGCGCTGCTTATGCAAACTAGGTGCTGCAAGACATGCCTGTCTGCCAGGTAGCACGTACTCCTCAGAAGGTCATGTAACAGCGTTGGACAACATCTTGCTTTGGGCCATTCTACAGCCATTCCCAATGAGCATTTTTAACCTAGACTGAAATAAAATTCATCCAACTGGAAAGGTAATAGTTTCTCTTGAGAAAAAGCAACAACCTTTTTGCTGTGCTCTTATGACATTGTATCCCACTGACATATGTGGTTTTTTTTAAAAACATACGACAATAGTTTTTCCATTATAACCTTCATCTTTAATCATCACCATCTACCTCAGATGCCCCTGTTTGCTGCAGACAGAGTATCACTGTTTCGCTAGTTCCATGGTTGTCAATAACTAGGAGAATTACAAAGGCAAAAGAAAGCAAAACAAAACAAAGAAACCCTTAATGTAAAGAAAAGTTTTTGACACTCACCAGTGACAGGCTGAGGTTCCCCAGCAAGTCCCATAGGTCATAGATTGTGTTCAGGCCAACCAAGATGACTACAAAAAGGCCAACAAACTTTACCCCCATTGCTCCAGCAAGGTTCACACCAGTCAGACTCAGCCAGAACCACCAGGAGGCAGAAAATGGCCTGCAGGACAGATAGAGCAGGTCAGTAAATAAACAATGGCTACTTGAATGGGCATCTGCAATCAGGAAAACAAACAGCAAGTTGGCAACCCTGCAAAATTACATTCCGTCTTCTTCTCAGGAGCCCACGAGGAATAGAAAGATAATTTTTTCATTAATTTTAGAATGATGCAAGGATACCCCTGATACAGGCTTCAGAAGGGCCGAACACTTAAGCCTGGGCAGCCCTAGATCTCCCCTTTAAGGAAGGGAACATAGACACTGGGTATAAGCTAAAATACTAGTGTGAAGAAAGACTGACACATGGAAGGTCTGAAAATAGAAACAGGTCTTTTGCTCCATAAAACACAAACTTACATCTCTCAGAAAGCTAAGGACGTGGGGGAGAACAGGAGAAAAAGAACAGCTACTTTTCCTAAAGCAGAAAGGCCATAGTGGAAAACATCTACCCAAAGCACAAACAAAAGCTGCAGCAAAAAGCAAACAAATTACAAACTAAACTAAAATTGAACCACAGAGAAGCATTAGATGAGAAACGACGACAGCAGAATTTAAAACTCTTTTCCTACTGACTCCTGATGCCTTGATGCTTGTATTTTGTCTAGACAAAATCCCTGCTAAGCAACACAATCTCTAGAGCTGGCTTTTAATTTGCATAAAATCAACTAGTTTGAAAACAGGATTAGCTCTAAGACATGAGAAATACGTTCAGGTCAAGGCACACAGAGCTGATCAAACACTGCCCTGTAACTTAGTGCTTGCACTCCCTGGGGCGCGTGTTGTAGATGAGGATGGCCTTGGATGGCCCCACATGACGCTGCAGGCTGCATTTTAGCCGCGTGTGCTGCAGTCACCCTAAGATTGATAAGTTGAGTTCTTGAACATTTCATGAACCAAAAATTGCTCATATATAACCCAGTAGTCTAAGCTTTTATGTCTTTGAATTCTGAGTGCATTGTGAGGAAACTACTCTGTACAGCCCAGCCACAAAGAAGCCTTTTGACACATCCAAATACCTATAAATCACCATCCCCCTCTGGATGGGTCTACGGCAAATATCCTGAGCAACTTAACTGCTTTATTCAGAAACACCCTGGCTATATTTCTCTCAAATTTTTGGTACCAATTTCTCTAAACCCAACAAATTACACTATTTACCTTAGCTATCAGGATTTTATAAGTGCTTATAGGATTACAGTCACAGATAAGCTGTGTTTCTCTAGCCTGGAGACAAAATGACTGGTTCAAGATAACCAATTAATATTTTTGCCATTAAGGAGCAAAGCCTTGAACAGGCTCCAACCATCCTTCATTCCTCCTTCTCTGACCTACAACACCCTATGCTAGCTTTTTTTTCTGTCAAGTTTTAAGAAGCTTTAACCTTCATTTTCAGGATTTGCAGTTCCATAAACACTATTTCTGCTGAAATTTCCTTTCATGCTAAAATAATCTGTTTAAGTCTCTCTCCTGGTTTACCCTAGCCATGATACTTTCTCCCTAGTTTCACAAGCTGTCATACTAAAAATTTCTCTCCCCTACCATGAGCCATTTTCACCTCCAAATTTCCTGAAACAATCTCATCTCAGCCACTCACGCAGATTACCAAGTGGCAGACATGTTCTAGTACTTTATCTGTGTGAAAGTTGAGTTCCTATAGTTTAGCAAAATTACCATCTTTATCTTACCTATCCGCACAGCTGTTACATTTCACCATACTCAGAACAGCTCCCATGAGGAAGAACATCAGAATGGGGTCCAGCAGAATATATTGGGACAAAGTAATACAGCCCGTATCTACAAACAGATGCACAACAATGTCAAAAAGGCTTGCGGTTCCAATGTGAATTCAAGATTGCAGGAAGCCAGTTTCCTCACTGCAGTCAAGACAAGGGGAACAAGGGAAATTTTAGAAACAGAAGCAGATCAGAACATTTCAACTTCTACTTGGGTAACAAATGAAAAAAAAAAAAAACTCACAAAAACCAGGCAGTACAACAGTATCTGTGAAACGCCATTTGGGAGGTGCTGCTAACATATTCAGATGGAGAGTGTTACAGACAGCAATGATCTACCCACTAAGGTACCAGCATGGTGCCAGAGGACGCTACAGGAGAAGTCATTTTTCAGATGTTGCCTATGAAAAAATGAATATCACTTGGATATTTTAGGTCTCCATGCCTCAATATCATATGTCCTCACAAAACCCCAATTTGGGTAACTCCATTTGCAATGTTAATTTCTCTGCTTGGCTCAATTCAACAAGGAACTTTATTAACTTCTTACTGTGAACTCTTCCACAGTAATGCAGTAGGCTGTTAAATACCTCTATAATTCATATGGGAGACATCAATATTTCACTACTGGGAAAAATCATTCCTGACCATCCATCTTATAAAAATTCTTAAAATTGAGGTGAAATGTAGTCCAACGCTGCGGTTATACACATAACAGAAGTACCTATGAACTAAAGACGACTGTAAAATTCTCAAGGGGATCACCAATTAAAAAGCCTCATATATATAAAGCAGAATTACTTTGCTTTTGGGAACCTCTCTCATTAACCCCAATATCCCCTGGCTAGGTAACATACGATAATCCAGAAATTAAATTCTCTGAACAATTAACCTGCTCAGTTTTGCTGTAGCAGGAACACCTACCAAAAATAAGGATGAAAGCTGTGAGTAAGGCTGCTGGCAGTGACTTTGACAGTTCCAACACTGTGAGGTAGGCGAAGGGAACCAGGCAGGAGCCAAGGAATGCACAGAACTGCAGGAAAAGAAGATCACGGGAGAAGTTATAACCCTCCCCAAAGTGAAGACGCACCCACACCCTTTTCCTTCCTTCATCTTCCACACCTATCAACAACAGGGGGTGTTGCAGTAGCTGAACTGACTCACTAAGAACATCAGACAAAAGCCAAATGAACAAAGATACTGTTCAGAGGAGGACAGCTGCTTACTCTGTTCTGTCTCTAGAGGTGTCAGTAACAACAGTCAGTCATTCTCTTGCTAGACTACATCAGATAAAAAAGATATGTCAAGTAGGTGCACTACACATACACCATACTCAACTTATTTTAACACGATATTAGAATAGGAAATCTAAGAACAAAATACACCTGTACCTTACATCTTTAGCAGACCAGTATCAGCTACCCTACACAAATGAGACTGAGGATAGTTGGAGGAGGAACAGAAATCAAAACAAAAGAAAGCAGCATCACAGTAAAATCTGTTCTCTTCAACATCTGGTTCTAGCACTTCTCCCACCTTTGGCTCAGGGAAATCTAGAACCACAAATTGCTGGAGACCCGGAAAGTAAACCAAGAAAATATGCCTTCCCAGTTTTTATCCTTCTTTCTGGGCACTAGCAACTGGCCACCGTTTGTTTTTTTTGGCTTGTGTTATCTGCTGTCATTTTATGGCTCTTGGTCTTTCTAGATAACAGTACAGCCAGGGTTTCAGATAGAATATTACTCTGAATAGTAATCTCCCCTCTCACCCCACCCCATCAGCTTACTCAGCTCAGTGTTACTGGTGGTGGCAAACTGCAGGTGGCAGTGGATGATCCTGCCTTTTGACATCCTTGGCTCTCCAGCAGAGCAGCCAGGCACAATGGAGTGAGTGGAAGCCCAAGCTCAGCAACGTTCCTTTTGCAGAACAGGCAAGATACCTGTCCCACTCAGGAGTGTAGTCCCAATAATTAGCAGCAAGAGTTGGCATCAATAATCACCTTACTTTCTTACCTGGCCTCTCACAATCAGACATTAAGACTTACAGTACAATCACTAACACCTTTCCGAGGAGCTTAAAGACAAGGCACAAAGCTAAACAGACCTCTGATCTGATCCAGGAGAGATGTTCTTACAACATAACACTCTGTACTGAAAACCACAGGAGAGCTAACCAGCTGGATACTAGCCTGTAGAGCCTTACCCCTCTCATCCCCACGTAGTTGTGCTGCTCATATCTGTCCCCTGGCTTTTGGAAAGGAAATGTACCATCATATCCACTAAGGTAGCCAGCAAGTCCAATCAGCATCTGAAGAGGAAAGGTGAAAAAACTGGTCAGGGAAATCGCACTGGAGGAAGGAGTATCCAAGCCAGCAGCAGGTAAGATTTTTACAGAAGCCAAGTCTGATCCACGGGTTAACTACTTAATTCAGACACATCATCCAAATAAGAGTTTATGTACAGAATTCATATGCATACATATTGCCCTTTGTCTAAAGGCAAAATCAGAAGGGATCAAAAAGACTTTGGCTGCTGACTATAAGGACAACTGCAAGTTCAAGAGAAATATCAGGTGTGGGACTTAGCAGAGAGAATTCTGTCTCTGTAGATTCTCCCATAGCTGCCTATTCTTATAGTTTAAGGAGGCTCAGCCTGAAAGGAAGACAATCTTTTTGAGGGAGGAGGAATGCACCTTCATCAACACTGCACATTGCTGCTAGAACAAGTTCTTCGATTACAGAATAGCAAGTCAAGGCTTTCAGGGTCCTTTGTGGTAGGAGTCTCATTTACACACAAGCCATCAGGAACTGTTTGGTTCCTTTGAACTGCAGGCCTCTATTAAATATGCCCTCCAAACCACGTAAGTGCCACGTTCGTTTTTTAATGTCAAGCCTTTCAAATACCCAACATGCAATACCGCTTTGTTTTCCCACATTCAAAGCATTTTCATAAAGAAGAAAAGATGCAAGTTGAGGCTCTGGATAGAGAAAGCAAACTACCACGACGCCAACAACATTTAGGAGAGGCACTGGTTTTCATCACTTCCTTCAGCCAGAAGGATGGGGAAGACTTTTGTTGGCCCACTCCTGTGGCTTCTAAAACATGTAACAGAAGAGCAGTTTACCTTCCCCAAAGGGGGGTGGACATCAAAGAAGAAGGTCCGATTAATGTAGTAACTTCCCATCTTCCCAAAATGAGTTTCATCCCAACTGGAAAAAAAAAAACCAAACCACCAAACAACCTGCTGTAATGCTGAAGACAGTAAAAAGAGCCAGGAAGGTCTTTTTACTCATGCTTTTCATCATGTAGAGGGTTAGTGCCACACAGTCTATATGAGATAATGCATTAAATTCACTGGGAAATCACGGGGAGTCCTTCAGCCATTCTAGGCAGGGTCCTTTTCAGAGTTTGATATTAGCACTCCAAAACCTCTAGTCTGCCCGTCTGTTTCCAGGTTGAGCTTAGAGATGCTAAAAGACCAGCCTGCAACCCACAGATCCCCAAAACCGCCTCCCCGAGACCCCGTCCCCTCCCTGCCGCATGTCCCGAGCGCGGCGGTGGGGCGGGGGCCGGCAGCGGGCTGGCCAGAGGCACCGCGCTGCCCTGTGGCCCTCGCTGCCAGGATCCCGTCCCGCCACCTGCCTGGAATAAACAGGGATCCGCTTCCCAGCCGGGCAAGGCAGGGGCGGGCGGGGGGTTGGGGGCGGGGGGG